TGACATGTAGTAACTGATTTTGGTTACATTTTCCAAAATCTACACCCCCACACACAGTGTACATTTTGCTGCTGGAACTGACCCTCCTTCAACTCTTGGAATTTGACTGTCATTCTTAAAGCACAACCATGGCCCAAAAGTGCAAAGCATGTTTTTTTGTGGCAATAGGTTGCAAACCATGAACCATCGAATTCACAGATGGGACACACTTTTCACCAGGTCACATCTAACCGACTATTACTGTGTACAGACTGAAACTTCTCTTTCCACAATTAAAATCCCATGCTCACTTTGTTACGGATGTGTCAGTCTTTTAATAAACCATCATTCTTACAAGGATTTTGAATCTCAAAACTAACAGTAACCTCCTTCCTTACATGAACAAGTCACCAGTAGATACCAAAAGTCCTAGTCCAAAAACCAACACTATTTTCCTCTATCTCTTTGGAAAAAAGTACAGTTGCTGAATAATAAAGAAAAAGTTTTAATAACCACAATCTGACTGAACAAAAGATATTTTTCTGATACAAAAATAGTTAATAATAATGATATATCATCCACAGCAGTCTATAAATACCACACTGATACCGTGTAGAATATAAGTTGGTTAATCTTTTTAACTCCACCACCGAAGGTGGACGGAGGTTATGTGTTTCACCACTGTGTTTGTTTGTTTGTTATGAATTTTGCGCAAGGCTGCACGATGGCTATCTGCACTAGCCGTTCCTAATTTAACAGTGTAAGACTAGAGGGAAGGCAGCTAGTCATCACCACCCACCGCCGACTCTTAGGCTACTCTTTTACCAACTAATAGTGGGATTGACTGTCACATTATAACGCCCTTACGGCTGAAAGGGCGAGCATGTTTGGTATGATGGGGATTCGAACCCGCGACCCGCAGATTGTGAGTCGAGCACCCTAACCATCTGGCTATCCCGGGCCACACCCCTGTGTGTGTGTGTTTGTCAGCAAGATTTCTAATTAGAAAACGGCGGAAAGGATTTGGACGAAAGTTGGTATACAAAGTCAAAGGTCAAGGTCACAGCAAGGTAACGAAAATAAAATAAAATCCCTATCTGTTAACATGGGGACCGATTTTGCACACTATTTTTGTTCTATAACTTAGTCAAAAATGATCGGATTTTGATGAAACTTAGTGGACATATGAAGAATATTATTCCTCATTGTCCTGCCAAAAATGGTCCGTGTCAGTAGATAACGATGGACATACGTTCACATTTTCGTATTTTTGGGGAGCTGAATATGATCTGGAGGAGATATGCGCTGTACTAAGTGCCCCTATAGTAATATAAATGATTTTATCGCTCCTATAGCATCGAAGAAAAAAAAAACCCAAAAGATAAAAATACTGTATTTCAACACTGATGCATGGGGTCCACGATTTTAATGCATACTTGTATTTTCAGGTCTCAGTCAACGCACTCAGGCTAGAAAGTTTATCGTTTGGTCATGACTTGGCTTCACACCAGGCTTCTCTGAAGAGCACGCAACAATTGGCATGTTGCCAACTGCGAATTTCAGATGTAATTTATATATCATGAAATGTTGTTATTCTTACATTTCGAAATTCAGTACAGAATAGAAACTTTGGATAATCTGATTTCTTTAATTTATCTGATATAACTAGATGGCAAACATAATTATTCCAAACTTGGGTATATATATTAGTTTAAAATTACAAAGTTAATTCCCATACAAAAATAACGACTACGACACCATTCACATATTACGTTTGCGCGAAGAAGGGAAAATGCATACGATTGCGTTGTTCGAAAGGAAGGGAGAGATAAGCCACCTCAGCGTAATCTATTATAGCGTATTTTTATTTAAATATCAGACTTATAATAATAATAAAATACATTGTTTCTTAAACCTAATATGAACCATCTGGTTGCGAGTCAAACCATCAATCGTCGAAAAGAGAGTAAGTGATATTAATGCGTACATGAGGGGCGTCGTCGTTTGCGTACAAGGGGGGGGGGCGTAAAAAGTTAACGATTTTTGACATACGTTAAACGTGTGAAATGTGAGGCAACAGCCTACACGACAATAACTGTTTATTTGTTGAATTTATCGCGAAGCTACTCGAGGGCTATCCGTAATTTATAATTGAGCCGCTGTAATTCATTTAGTTTGGTTTGATATTCGCGCGAAGCTACACGAGCGCTAGCCGACCCTAATTTAGCAGTGAAAGACTATAGTGGGAAGGCAGATAGTCATCACCACTCAACGCCAACTCTCGGGCTACTCTTTTACCAACGAATAGTGGGATTGACCGTCACATTATATCACGGCTGAAAG